CAACTCACCTTTGGCTGGGTGACTTGACGTCCGAGCAGGGTGTGAGGAGGAATATAAAGTGTAGTTACGCTAATTAAATAATTGTTTGGATTGTTGTTTTATTTGCCTACTTAGCAATCGCATGATTAACTGCTTCATGTACAATATTACATATTAATATTTGGTTATTTGGACTTTTAAGTCTTATTCCTCGTGGTTATTAAATTTTTAGGAGCGAGTTCGATCGAAGAGTACTTGAGGCATAATTCAATGTATGAGACACAGTTTTCTAATTTAGCCTCTTTATTTTCATTAATGACATATATTATGCCAACCTAGGATGGATATATATATATATATATATATTGAGCATGTGGAATTTATTTATAAATTATTGTATTTCATATGCCAAGAGAATGTTGTCTATCTCTCGTGGCCCTGGGTATTTGTGAAGTAAAATTTCGATCAAGTATGCCCCTATATGATAGTTTTTGGTGGTAACTATTGTTTGAAAAAGTATAATTGGGCCCAAGTTGGGTATTTATAGTAGAAGCATAGTTTTTGAATTGTTGCTTATGTGACCATGATTTTGAAATTATAACAGGGTGTACACTTGAAATATTTAATAACTATTTCTCTTAATTACTATGGTAAAGTAAATTTATTATATTTGAATTTTTATAACATGATAGACCCTTTTTATCATGGTAGACTATTTATGAAATGTTTTTATAACTCTTTTTTTCCTATCATGGTAACAGTTTAAAATTATTAAAATAGTTTATCAAACTATTAACTTGCGAAAAAAATAAGTGTTAAAATTTAGTGTATTACACTTTGCATCTCACCTCATGTGAAATTCACATTCTTCTTAACAAGTTCATCAAGAAGGGCAGCAATGGTAGAGAAATTTTTAACAAATCTCCTATAAAAGTTTGCTAAGCCATGGAAGCTTCTCACTTCGCTTGCATTTTTAGGGGTTGGCCATTCACAAATATTTTTAACTTTCTCCTTATCCACACGGATTTTTTATAATCCAACAATAAATTCCAAAAAAGATAACAAAGTTTATGCAAAAAAACACTTTTAAAAATTAGTATATAGCTTAGATTTTTTCAAAGTATCAAACACAGTTTTAAGGTTATTCACGTGATCAATCAAAGACTTACTCACTGTACCCATCAAATTCAGCAATTTGGCTTTCATCAAAGTCAAGGAAAAAAAAAAAAAGGTAATCATTTTCTTGATAATGGTTAGATATTTTTTGTGTGGGCATTGTCATTCTCATCTGACGCGTAGTTTAAATCCAAGTTTCCTACCTTTGCCAGGCTTGATCTGCATTGTTAATGGGCTTTTTTAAGTTCTGGTTGCATTTTATTTCATCAGCATCAATATTGTTATTTATGTCGCTAGGTAGGCGGTAGCTCGATCACACACAGAATTTCCCTCATCATAATCTGAAATTGTTTATTAACTTATATTAATTGTATAAATAAAATTTCCTGTATTAGTATATCATATGTTTTTTATTATGATTTTTTTGATGAAAAATATTGTGTATTTAAATTATCAAAACATTTAAAATTAAATATGAAGTTGGCATGAGAAAAATAAATGTTTATTTTTTAAAAAAATTAAACCTACATGAATGTTTCTGGTAACAAATTCTCTCATAAGGTACCCAAAAAAGGCTCCCGTAGGGTAGGCTTATGCCATAAATGCTATTGTAGGCCTACTATATGGTAGTGTTTCTTTATATAAAAAGAAAATATTATTCAAGAACCACCCATGATATGTAATATTAATCCAGAATCAAAAAAATTATGAAAGATCACTATAACATCAGGGGATTGATTTGAAAATAAATTTAGACAGGAAAAGAATGTAATACCTCTATCCTTTTTTAATTAACAAGAGTTATTTATGAATTAACAAGTATCTATTTATATTTAACAAGAAACTATTAGCTAATTGACAAGTTCAAGAATATGAAAGAATTTGATTGTGAGAAGGAATAATTGTAGATCATGCTTCAATAAATAACTATTTGTTAATTAACATGTATCGATTCGCTTTTAATAAGAAATTGTTCGCTAGTTGACAAGTTCAGTAAACTAAAAGAATTTGGTTATAGGAAAGGACAAGATAAATCATGTTTCAACAAATTACCATGCATTAATTAACAAATATATACTCTTATTTAATAAGAAGCCATTCACTAATTGACAAATTCAAGAATTTGAAAGAATTTAGTTGTAGAAAGGGATAAATGTAAATCATGCTTCAACAAGTAATCATTCATTAATTAACAAATACTTATTTGCATTTAACAAGAAATTATTCAATTGACAAGTTATTTTTAAATAAAAGTAGGGGTATTATAATTTATTCCTATCTAAATTATTTTCGAATCAGTTTCCTAATTTTGTAATGATATTTTAAAATTTTTTAATCTTTATTTAATATTAAATTACTTTTATGATCCTTGCATGATATTTTCCTTTAGATCCTTGAATGATAGGCCTACATAGTGTTTTTAGTCAAAATACTCTCTCATAGGCCGACTTTAGAGGCTCATTTCAAAAGCATTCCTTTATTTTTGGATCCTTTTCCAAATGTTTGGAAAGAGTAAAAATAATTACTTTGAAAAGCTCTTTTTTTTTTTGTCGTAGTGTAAGTTTTTGGTTTAGGTTATTCTAATGAGTATTGTGTTGGAATTGCGTAATAAGTTTTGGAGTTTAAATGTAGTTTTGTATTTGGATTGATTAGAATTCAATAAAAAGTCTTAAAACTATTGGTTCATTTTTTGTTATCTGTCGTTTTTGGTTTTTGATTGTCTTTAGAAGTTTATGAAATCAAAGAGGTGAAAGAGGATAATCAAAATATAATATAAAGAATATATATATATTTTGGTATGAGTGATACTAGAACTGAAAATAAAAATCAAACTTGAAGGGTCATTTATTTAAATTTATTTTTATAGAAGTTTAAATTTAAAAAATTAGCTATTTTTAAAAAAATGAGGTTTTAAAACCTGATCTTAATAAATCTTGAAAAAATGGGTCTCAGCTGGGGCAACCCGCAAGGCCTGATTTCCTCTCTCTTTCTTTTAGGGAGTGTTTGGATGAAAGGGAGGGGAGGGGAGGGGAGGGAAAATTTTTAAAATTTTCCCCTCTCCTCCCCTCCAAAGCCTCCCCTCCAAATTGGGGGGAGCTCCCCTCCCCTCCCTTCCCCCCTCCCCTCCCTCCCCTTCCCTTGAACCAAACAGGCTCTTGTTGCCCCTCCACCTTGATTTCAAAACGCACCGTCCGGAGAGGAAAAGAAAGCCTAAGCTACACTGCAGCTTGCGAGTTGCGATTCCTCTTCATCTTAGCCTCTCCTCTCTCTTCATCTCGGACTTGCGACTCTGACTCTCCTTCTTCTAGCTCTCGGCCTCATGAATCACGATCTCTACAACTCAGCCTCTCCCCCTCTCGGCCTCACAATGTCGGATCTCAATCTCGACGAGGGAGTCACAGTACTCTCGCCCATTGGCCCTCGCTCATGATTTCAGATTGTCGGCGTTATGCTCACTTCTTGGCTGGCTGGATATCGGCGACGGTCTCTTGACGGACTCCTCTAGATAGAGAACTGTGGGTGGTCGTTCTTGCCTCTGTCATGGTTCTCGATCTTGACTTCAGTTGCTCTCGCCTCTAAGTCTTTGATTCTTATCTGATCTCAACTGCTTCTGGTTAAAATTGATTATTCTCTATCTGATTGACTGATTCTCTGCTATGCCCCTATCTCTGCTTAGTTGTTTGGACTTTAGATTATTCAATTAGTTAAGTTTGCCAAGGCGGGAACTTCATCATTCAAGTCATATAAGAATCTGTTCTTTCAGGAAGAAGTTCATATCTTGGACAATTGAATGGCTATTTCACCAAACAGATATCATTGTAATTGACCATGGGTGAGCCACACTGCTAATTTCTTCTGCTTTATATGGTGCTATGTTACAAAAGAAAAATAAAGATGCTGTTCTGTTTACATTTTTACTGTCTGATAAGAGTTTAGAGAATTCAGTTTTTGAGAGGAGGTCATGCTCCTGATTTCTAAACTCGATGAGAACGCAAGCTTCAACACCATTTGGACAAGCATCTTAAGCCTTGTCCTTGGAATCATCAATTAAGGAAATTCTATGAAGAGAAGCTGGATTGTCTGAAGCTTTTCATTCGAAAGCAGCCAAAGGTTACTCTTTGTTGCCTTTCATCCAGTTTAAGTTTGAGTTGTTTGTAGTGGAGTTCACATGCCTAGTTTAGCTTGTTAAAAATTCTAAATCATGTTATTTTGCTGTTGACTTTAATGTGGGGAATTGTATTAAAATTATTCTATGCACCTCATAAATTATATGTTATTACAGGACCAAAGTCACCCTTTAAAGAGTTGCGCATGAAAGCTCCGATTAGAGAGCAACTAATAATGAAATCATTACAGGGGCCAAACTCAAGCTTTGATTCTGTGATTATTCAACCAAGCTCAAGCACCGGTGGAATGGTGGCAAAGACGAAGATGCAACTAGCAATGTCTTGGACTTAAGCTCATGCTTTGATTCTATAATTTTAATTTTTATGGCTTGAGCCCTTTAAATAAAGGTCAGATCTAAAAAAAAAAGCATTTTTAAGAAAATCGAGTTTTAGAGTTTAGGCTCATGTGAGCTGGACCCGTCCGTTTTCTAACTTCAAGTTACAGTCACTTTTAACATAGGCTCTATAACGTTAAAAGTCTTCAATTTTAACATTATTGATTCTATACCACATTCAAGAACTGGTGCGAAAAAGTTAATTTTAAGAAGTGATAAATGTACTTTCTGCACTCGTGAAAGTATTTCAAATAAAATAAAGAAGTCTTGACAAGCCACGCAACTATTATATTGGGCACAATCTTCAATTTAATTATATAACACCAGCACATCTCAAGTAAACACAACTTCAGTAAAGATAGATCTAATTTCGCTCAAAAAAAAAAAGAAAGTAAAGATAAATCCAATCTTTCATGCATTGTTTTAGTTTTTGTATAATCTTCAATACACTAACAGTCTGACACAAATCAAAGACATCTTCACATACACCACTTGGTGAAACGCAACTACAAATGAAAACCTTCGAAAGATCCAAAGCTCGTTATCCCTCTTATATCCTTGACTTTCAGATTTGATCTCCAAGTCTGAAAAAAATAATAAATTAACAGCTTAACTATCACATCAAAATGGTACATAGACAAAATAAAAACTAACAACTTTATTTATTTTATGAATTTTTTTAAAATTGTCATCAGACAATGTGGATTAAACTAGAGCTAACTATTTATGTTGATGAGACTATTGAGTTAAAAATTTGTAAATGGAAAAATTAATTATTTTGAATTATATAATTTTTGAACGTGTAATATTAATACAACACCAAAACCTTTTGGGAATGATTCAAATTTCTCTTAAAAAATGAGTGGGGTGGGGGGTGTGTGTGTGCGTATCAAAATGGAAGGTAAAACAACACCTTTTATTAGTTGGGGAGGGTGGGCAATTATCGTAAACAAGCAACTTCAAAGTGTGGTATTTGACCGAGTGATAGAAATTGTAATGCACAAAAATATTTCATTGATTAAAAATAAAAGTGTGTTCAACTAATATTTGGTTGCATATTTAGAAAGAGTGAAGGTAGGTACCTGATGAGGCATTGTATTATAATGGGATGTTGTATATGTTTGGACAATCTTGTATACTCATAGTACCAGATACGTGATTGAATTCATAACCTGTATAAATCTCTCTCAACTTTGGCAACCTCCTGAGATCCAATTTATTCAATTTAGGAAATAGTTTCTGATCATGACCAGTAACTTGTTCACTTTCATAGCCTTGAACAACCCACTCAAGTTCAGAGCAGTCATTTATAATTATTTTTTTTAATGAAGGGCATTGAGATGCTAGAGAATAAGAAAACAACCTTTTCACTTTGTTGCAATCATATATACCAATTCTCTCAAGGCTGGGGAAGCAAACCGTGGAAGAAGCAGAAGAAAGGTTTTGAAGTGATTCTTCACAAAATACTCCTTCCCATTGATCGCATGCTTTTACTCCAAGTTTCTTCAACTTTGGAAGGCTTGTAATTATGGCAAGAGTGAAAATACTTTTTAATCTTCGGCAACTCCACAATTTAACTTCTTGAAGTCTATGGAGGCTTATAATTTGAGTGGGGGCCTTCCAAATAAATTCCAACTCCGGCAGATCCATTAAATGTATAGAACATAATTCTGAATTCAACACCTTTGGCCTTACACTGTCATTCTTCTTTTTCTATATAGTAAATGTATTCAATGATTAGATGGCAATCTAAACGATGGTCAATATATGACTCACATCAAATGTTAGAATGCTGCTGCAACATTACTACTTAGGCCCTATTAATTTCACATTTTAAAATTGTAACAAAAGAATCTCAGCATGATGAATTTTATTTAGTTAGACATTCATATATTATCAAGCGCAAAACGTGGATATATATATATATATATATATTACAGATTACAGATATGCATCCACAGTCACACTGATTTATTTCAAGAAGTCTTGAATAAATACATTTTAGTTCAATCATGAAGAGCTCACTGGTGCCAAAAAACTATAACATAAAAAGTTATTTCGTTCATTGACAACCTTTATTACTAATACAAATAATACAAACATAAAATTTGACTCAGTCCTTGCAGCAGTACTGGAAAGTGGGAACGTTAAATTTTGTATGCAAAAACATTAAATAAATATTGAAATGATTATTGCCTGTTATTGAGGATATATTTTTGCTACAAATATATAGTAAACAGAAATTTTTTAAATGAATTTAAAAAGTAAACATGCCAATTTCAAAAACAAGGGAAAAAAGAGGTAGAGTGAACGAAAGATAAAAAACCTCTTAAAAACATCCAAACGACAACATGACCTTTGTAACACTCACCAGAAATTACACCCAATCAATTTCACATATTTTTTTTTTGGCAAACAATCTCACATATTTTTTAATATTGTAATATAACAACTTCATAGTTACAACAATAATAATGTGGGGAAAAATGTATAACTTGCAAATATTACTTTTGTTGTTGCATGATTATTCAATATCTATTATTATAACTATATGTTGTTAAATTATTTTATTAATTTCAAGAAATGATTAAATAGTAAATTAACCCCTAAATTATATGTCGAGGAGTGTATGCAATCTTAAACTTATTTTTGATATAATTTTTCCCTTCAACTTTTGATAGTAGTATAATATTGCCCCTATCATTAACAAATATTAATTTTGACTGGTAGTTGATCAAAAAATTACATAAAAAGATCTAAAATTATAAAAAAAGGTTTTGGGTCTTTTCATCTAATTTTCAGTTAGCTAGCAGTCAAATTTAATATTTATTAATGGCAGAGGCAATATTGCATTAATTTCAAAAGTTGAAGGAAAATATTGCACAAAAAATGAGTTTAGATTTCTGAACATTCTTAAACTTATAGTTTAGGGGTCAATTTGCTATTTAGCCCTTCATGAAATACATTAATTGTTGCCTATTATTGTTAAGATATATCTTTTTCTTAAAAACAAGAGCATGCATACCTTAAATTTTAAAAAAATAAAATAGTGCATTGATTTTACATAAGACTTACGTGTCTATCATGATGGCATTCCAGCTTGTACTCAAGTTCTCCTGTGAAAATGTCTCTCAATGTTGGCAACATTACTAGAGTTAATTCCTTCAGTTTGAGAAGCAGTGGTAGCCAATCCCCATTTGCTGATTCTTCATCATTGTCTCCGTCAACAAGCCTCTCAAGTTGAGAGCATTCATGTATTATCATATACTCTAGTGAATGACAATGAGAAGCCAGAGAATAAGATAATAGTCTTTTCACTTTGTTGCAGCCCTCTATTGAAATCTCATTGAGTTTAGGGAAGCATACATTAGAGGAGGAAGAAGAAGAAGAAAGGTTTTTAAGTGATTCTTCACAAAATACTCCTTCCCATTCCTCGCATTCATATACAAAAAGTTGCCTCACTTCTGGGAGGCTTGTAAGGATAGTAGGAGAGAAGATACTTTTTAATCTTGGGCAACTCCACAATTCAACTCTTTCAAGTCTATGGAGGCTTACAATTTGTGTGGGGCCCTTCCAAATATATTCCAAATTTGGTAGATCTTGTAATCTTAATTTACACAACTCTGAATTCAGCTTCAAATTAGGATCTTGTGCTTCTCTCGTCACTCGCACTTCAAATATATCATTGATTCTTTTACAATTTCTAATTTGTAGAAATTTCAAACTTAGGAAAAAGGTCAAGGGCTTCTGATTTCGTAGCTGCTTGAAGTTGTTTGCTCTCTCAATCTCATACCCCTGCCAGTGTATTCGAATTCAATTAATTATGAAACGGGTCATTCTAAAACAAAGATCTAAAATTTCATGATAAGAACAATGTTATACAATTAAAAATCCTTATATAAAAAATGCAATCATTATTGCCTATTATTCGATAGCAAACATGAATGTTTTGAACAAAATTAAAAAGTGAACATGCCAATTTTTATATAAAAAAGGAAGTAGATGAACGAAAGAAAATAAAATTCATCAAAATATTTAAAATTTTTAGCTAGCCCCTCTGTCAACCCTAATATACAATGTACTAGCCTCTATAAACTTGCATTTTAAAAAAAGTGTTCTTTTTATCAAATTCAAGGAAAAACATAGCAAAAAAACATCAAAAAGAAAACATTTCAGATCACAAGTATGGATAATTTATATATAATGCATCAACACAAATTTATTTTAAATAAAGCAACCATAAATAAGTACTCCTTTCAAATATAAGATGCATTTTGAAAGATCTCATGTTTTGATACATATGGGACTCCATGGATTAGTAAGGTCAATTGATTGCTTTTTTAAAAAATGCCATTAAGGGTATTTAAAGAATACCTCTTCATTAATATTGTTCATTCTTCACGTATTTAAAGAAAGGCAAAGTTGAAAAACAAATCAAAATCTTAATTTTCTAATGTGGTTTCTTTTTATAGGTGCGTGTTAGGTACAAGTGCCTTATATTTGAATTAGATTGAGTACATACCAAAATAAATATTTGATGCCATAAAATATTAAAGTATTTTTTTTTACAAAAATACGAAATAAAATATACAAAGTGTTGTAACTGGCTAAGTAAAAGTAGTTCAATGACATTTGCTAAAGACATTCTTGAGGTATTTGTGATACTAACATTGATAATAATGGTTCTATACAATAGGGTTTGGATTAATTTAAACGAGAGGTGATAATATTTTCAAGTTTTTCAAAATTAAAAAACTAGGCGATGAAATAAATTCAATGACAAAAATTTAATAAGGAACTTCAAAAATTCAAAAGTTGGCCAAAAAAAATATAAAACTCAAAAAGCAACAACATTTTGCGCGAAAATTAAACTTTAATATGTTAGCCTATATCAATACTTTTCACAGTACATACATGCTATTAGAAATTGTAATAAACATTTCTCTGACATGAAAACAAAAGTTATTAACTAGCAAGAGAGATAAAGGAGTTGATTAATTGTTTGATTTCACTTCATAATTTGAGAAAATGATATAAAATTCATGTATCAAAAGTAAAGCAACAAATTCAAATTACAAATAATATTTCCTTCTTTGAAACCTAATAAGGTAATTTTTTTAGCTTATGCCTCAACATAGATTATTATTTATTTATTTCTAATAAGCAATGTTCATATTTAAGAGGAATTTTGCATATAACACTTACATATGGAAAACCTTGCATATCATAAAGGAACTCCCCTTGGTGCTGTAGTAATTGATCCTCGTGTTTTATCTTATCATCACCATCTACACCGATGAACCTCTCAAGTTTAGAGCAAGAGTGTATCCACAATTCCTCTAGTGAAGGACATTGACAAGTAAGAGAATAAGGAAATAGCCATTTCACTTTGTCGCAGCCATATATCTCAAGTTTTCTCAGCTTTGGTATAACAATAGCGTGGGTGAAGATGCAGGTTCTCAATTTGGGACACCTTTCTATGAATAACTCTTGTAACATCAGAAGAGAGCACCCTATAGATGAATCTTGGAAAACTTGTTCAAGATTAATAATTTCTCTCAATCTTAAAGTAGTCAAGTGGGAGAATACTTGTTTTGTTTGAAGATTGTTGACATCAGAGTTATCAATTATGAATCTTTTCTCCCGACAACATGAAACCATTAAGTGTTTTATCTTTAAATTTAGATCTTTATGATCCCACATACAATTCTCCAGGCAAAGGCAATTTGCTCTAAGAATGAGATCTTTCATTGATGAACTCAGAGTATTGAATTTGAAGTCTTGTATACATAAAGCTCTTAATGCTTCATCACAACCATCAAAATATTCTAGAAAAGGAACCTCATGAATATCGAATCTAGAATCATAAATAACATACCTCTTCAACCTTGAAAGAGAGAAATTTTTTGGGATAGTTGATTTCTTATCCCATAAGTATAATTCTTCCAGTTGCTCACATCTTCCAATTACTCCTAAAGGACTTTTCTCAATTTCACAACCAAACACATCCAAAAGTTTCAACTTTTTCATATATACAATTCCAGCAGGTAATTCATCAAATTGAGAACCATGCAAGTCAAAAATCTCTAATTTTTTAAGTTCACCCAAGAAAGAGATGTCACCCAATACTTTTCCTCTAAGCCATAAGGTGTGTAGATTTGTTAATGACACAATTGATTGCAAAATTGACAATTGAGTTTTTGGCATCCTGGATGTCCATTTAAAGCTAAATGTTATGAAGACCAAGACTTTTAATGCTTCTACCACTCCAAGATGATCAATGGACCCTTGATGATGAAGTAGTAGAATTTCAAGTGTTGGAGAATGCAATTGATTAGGGAGCTTGAAATTCTCATCCAAATTCCACAATGATAGTGCCTTTGTATCTTTCAGACTTTGATATTTATCCAACATGCTTGAAACTGTATTTCTATCCACCAAAATTGCTTGATATTCTTTCTTTGCAATCCATAAGGCTATATCACGAACCACATCATGCAATTTTACACATGCTTGCTCATTGGTGGGCATTAACAAACAAGAATCTAACAACTTCTCAATAGTTGCTAAAATCTCATTCCTTGCATCCTCCATTGTATAAATACATTCATCTAGCTCAAGAGTCCCCTTGCCAAAACGAATTAAATCCTCTACATGGATTTCATGATCCTCAGGAAACATAGAGCACAATAAGAAGATTGATTTGGCTAGTTGACTCGGCAAATAATCATAACTTATTTTGAGAACTGCATAAAGGCTCCTCAAATCTTCTTCAATATCTAGCGATGCAGGATGTTGTAGCCATCCTAATGTTGACTTCCATACTCGAAAAGTTCTCCTTCCTTTTAACATGCTTCCTACAGTCACAATTGCTATAGGTAAACCCTTACACTCATCAACAATCTCCCTTCCAATTCCATCAAACTCATCATTCAATTCATTGGTTATGTTAGCATGCATCTTGAACAAAGACCATGCCTCTTCCTCTATTAAGAGAGGCAGTTCAGTTATACTTTGACAATCCATAGAGACACATACATTTCGAAGGCGAGTGGTTAACAAGACACAACAATCTTCATTATGTGGAATGCCAATTTCTTCAAGGCTTAGTTTGCTCCACACGTCATCCAAGATTATAAAAATCTTCTTATTTCTTAATCTATAAGATAATGTTTCTGCTCTTTTAAATTGCAATTGCTCCTTTAATTTGAAATCTATTTGCTCTGCTATATCCTGTTGAATTTTCAGCACATTGGGAGGTTTTGAAACAACTACAATGATGCAATTGTCAAACAGCTTCAATTCTTTGACCTTATCACCTAACTTTTTGGTCAAGGTGGTTTTACCCGAGCCCCCAATGCCATACAGTCCAATTATCTTGTTCTTGCCATCTTTAATGGCCTCTAAAATAAGATTGCATGTTGATTTTCTCGAGTTGAAATCCACAAAGTCTTTGGTGGAAAAGTTAGGCATGCTTGGAAGTTGGATGCGAGTGGAAAATGGCTCAAAGTTTGAATTTTGTTTGAGCTCCTTCATTCGATTAGCCTTATTTTCCATTTCTTTTGCTAAAGAATACCTGTGTCGCACATTAAAACATTTCTTTGCTCCTCCTTCTTCAGCCTTTCGTTGTAGCTTTTGCACATCCTCTAGAATTGCATCTACATTATCCCACCACTTTTGCACGGAGGGCATTATTTCTTTAGTTTCTCTATCAACTTCTTCCTTTTGCCTTTTCACATCTTCTAGTTTCCCCTCCAGCTCTTCTCTTGCTTTTTCAACATCTCCAATGAATTGGTTTAAGCACAACAAATAACGAGCACGATGTATAATTGGATCCACTAGATATTCTGCAACCTTTGCCCCAATGGAAATCAAAATCTCTGCCATCTGATGCAATAAAACGCAATCACATATAGTTAGTCAACATTTCTATTTGCAGTAAAAATCCCTATAACAGATCAATGGTACATGTATGGTATATGTGTATTTATGACATAGCATAAGGAGATGTCATGAACTAAATTGATCATATGAAAGTATATATATTCAAATGGCTCTTGACAACAAATAGAGAGAAAAGAAAAAGATAACGGAAGGGTAACAGATAATAGAGAAGGAGAACTATAGAACTCAGAGGGAAGGGGAAGAGAATATACATAGAGGAGAAGGGAAATATATATCAAAGATAAAAGAGTACTCAAATCATCCACACCATTTTTACGAATACTCTCTCTTCATATATAGACTTGGCTTCACATTGTTGAGATTTATTTCCCATTTTTTGTTACTACATGGGAAAATGATAATTAGAGACCCCACAAGAACATTAATTATAATTACTAACCCTGAATCATTGAAATCCCAATAATAGACCATTGTCCACACTTGTAATTAAAAAATGCAAATAATTAGGTGGCAAATCAAAAAAATAGACTTGAAATTATTTATAATATCAATTAAAAATTTACAAGAGTTAATTGTGAATTTTAATTTTTTTCTATAATATAAGATAAATTAACCATATGAAAAATTAATAAAATACATTTAAGATTATTTATAACGTTAGTCGAGAATGTACAAAAAGCCAATATCTTATGATTTTTTGTTGTTGTTAATATATTAATAAATTGCTTGAAAAATCTACAAAATACACTTAAAATTATTTGTAATGTCATAGAAAATTTATGAGAGTTAGTTGTGATCGCAAACTAGTTACTTGTAATTTTTTTGCTGCAAATATATAGATAAAACGTTTAGGAAATCAATAAAAGATATTTGAAAATATTTGTAGCGTTAGTTAAGAATTTACAAATATCAGTTATGCATCTCAAGTCAATAAACAAAAGATACTTTTTTGCAAGTAAAGACTGTGACTTGTTATGAATTTTCATAATTTAGAATTTATAATTGTAATTAATGTTCTTATAGGTCTCTAATTGTCATTTTCTCCCTACTACTAACAACATGCAAAGGCACCACACTTATTGAATGGTCCCACGGACCCTTCTTGGGTCCCACCAGTGTTGGTCAATTCATGACAGGAGATTTATCACTTAAACTAGCTAGTTGTGAGAGGGTGAGAGGCATAATAAAAATAACAGTGTAAGCTTTGTTATAAATACCGGCCCATGCATCTAATTAAATAAACCATGCATATATGTATATAACATGCATGAAGAAATCATATTTTAGATTGTGTGAAGCCCACCTGAAAGAAAGAAATAAATGATTATCCACTAATTCAATTAAGACAATGATACTATGATTTATGGGTATATTTATTTTTTAAGGAGTTTCAATTTCTACGAATTCATTACTGTAAACTTATTGTTGTGAAATGGAGGAAATTTGAATATCTAACCTTATATATAAAAAGGAATGAAAGCCCACTAGATTACCCAAAAGATTTTTTTTTTCAATTTTTCAATGTCCTTCAATATAAAATGTGATGAACTAATGTTTGAATTTTTATTGATAAAAGAGTGTCAATATTTAGTGCCCAACAATACTTTAAACATAATTACCGCTAATAAGATGATATTTAAGGGTAACCAAACAAAATTGAAACTGGCCCACTCTTTTGGGCTGCTTCTGAAGGTAAAAATAACATAAAATAAATATAATTTAAAATGTCTCACTATTTTTAAAAGGAAAAATGAATATGTCAATCATTATATATTTACCTCATTTTTATCTTTTTAAAATGCATGGTTGTTTAAAAAATATTCACACATTCATTTTTTCCATTCACCCAAAACCGAGGGTGCTTGGATATTTTAATTTCAAGAAAACCAGTTTTGAATTCATATTTGATTTTAACAAGTAATAGAAGTGTTTGGATACTTTCAAAAAAGATATAATTTTAAATTTATAATTGATTTCAACATGTAATAGAGATGTTTGAGTATATTTTCACAAAATCATGATTTTACCATATTATTAATTTCAATTGTACTCAAAATCAATCTCATTAATCTTATAAAATAATAATTTACTATAATAAATAATTTCCAAAAAACATAATCATCAATATAATTATCTTCCAAATCAATCATATAAGTCAATTTTATCCGTAATCAATTTTATACAATGTTAATCCAAGCGCACTGCTGAAACTAATTACGGGAGTACAAGGAAATAAATATTATAAGAAATGTTAATCAATTTTATACTCATGACGAATAATAAAAAATATAAAATAAATAAATGGAAAGGAGTTCGATCGGCTAATTGGGTTATTCTGATATATATATATATATATATATATAATCGTTACTTACATCAAATATCGTAATGAAATTAGACGAATAGAACAGAACACAGACCACAGTGACTCAAATCAAATTAAGAAAAGCCCAGCTAGCTACATGAAAATAGCAAATAAAAATTCACCCTATCAATGCAAAGAAATGATGCATATTAATATGCAAAGAAATTCATTATCGTATAATTATTGAGGAATTTAAAAGAAGGGGAAAAAATAAAGCTCATACACGTTTTTTTTTTTGCATTATTCTTTATTTAACCAAACTTGATATGAAATTGACGGGAAAAAATTCATTATTTTTTTTTTTGGCCGAAAAAAAATTCATTATTCAAGTATAAGAAAATTCAAATAATATAAATTTAGAATAACATAAAAAAGCGCCTAACAGATCTATTTGGTGTCTAACCAATTCTAATCAATAATATTATTATGCTTAAAAAATTAATTTAAGAGCCCATATAACAAAGAACACTAATTAGAGGGAAAAAATTAATATTTTAGATAAATAGTCTTATATGAAGAACCATAAAGAAAGTCCTTATAATAAAAGATCGAGGAGTAACAAACTATACAGATATATGAATACTCAATCTGATGATTCATGAATCAATTTTTTCTTACCGTTTGTTCCCTTTAAGGTCTGTAATATACCAAAGTCGCACCAACCGATTGGAATCCAATTTTTGAACTCTGGTTGCAACCTATAGGCCAAAGCACATGGCAATTTAAATAAAATTTGTAAGCGAAACAGAGATGAATAAACTGTTCGGTGAAATAAAGTCAAAGAAGTCCAATAGCCTAAAAACTTTAAGAAGCCAATAATCGAAGTAATTAAGTGACAAGAGCTAAACGCATGAAAATTGGACAAACCAAGCCATGGAAGAAGAGCGATTGCAGAAAAAGAGAAAGATGGAGCGAAGGAATATCAGGGTCAAGTTCTTCTTCTTCTTCTTTTTTGATATAAAGAGTCAAGTTCTGTTGATAAGGATAAGCCAAAGCGTTCTTACCCAACCAAAGGCTACCTTTATTTTATTTTATTTGCGTGTGTTTTGGGTGATCAACAATTATGATCAGTTTTGGACGAGGGTTAAAAGGCAAATTAATCCCTAAATTATATTATAGATCCAAAAGCATATGACATCTTAAGCTTATTTTTGTTGTAATATTCTCATTCAACTTTAAAAAAGGGTGCAATATGCTGTCCTTATCATTAACAAAAATTAACTTTCATCTTTAGTTGATTAAAAAATGACAAAAAATAACTTAAAAAATTATATAAAAATGACAAAAAATTATAAAAAAAAAGGATCCAAAAATTACAGATAAGCACATAAAAATTATAGAAAATGTTAAAAGGGAATTTTGTATTGTCAACTTTTGAGATCCTTTTCTATAATTTTGTGGTTAACTTTTGTTAACTACATATGGCATATTGTATTGCTTTAAAATGTTAAAAGAAAATATTATATAAAAAATAAATTTAAAATTTCAAACATTCTTAAACTTATAATTTAAGGATCAATTTATCATTTAATCCCTTGTACTATTATGGGTTGAATTATTGGTGGTTGTGGGGTTACATTTTGTCAGCCACTGTAGCTTTGCATTCATTTAATTTGTCGTTTCCATCTACATTAAATTCATTTAATCAACTTCACGGGTCCATGCCAACTTGACACATTCTTATGCTCACACATCAGCCTCACCCCAAGTTTTAAGCAAGAAACACTACCATAAAACACCCTTTTACTTGAAGATTATTATAGCCAACATTTGATGGTTGGAAATCATTAAGCAATATATATTAAGGATACTTTTATTTGACAGTTTTTAACTATTAAGTATCTAACACATCATTTAATGGTTATTTCAAAATATCTCTACACATATGTCTCCTTCTTTTAATATAAATTTTTAAATTTTAAATATAAATTCAAATTTAAATTTAAATTTATCAATCCAAATATTATTTTATATCTTTCTCATAATCCACTGTCACCTCCTCGTTACCCAAGGGTTCTATCATGTTATGTGGCTAGGCCAATGTTGGTTGCCCTGTAATGATTTTCATCACCGCGCGTTGTGAAGTGTCTAGGTTTGTTTCAACTTCTTTATTAAATGTGTAACTCGAAATGTGGGGCCTCCGGATTGCTGAATTCTCATGGTTCAAGACCGGTGGCATCTTCTTGTAACTTCCCACTGCCTCCTCCTCTTCAAGTTGCCCAAAGTCCACTACCTTCGGCCCATTTAAAAAAACAATTATATAAAAAATAAATGCATCGCCTTTATATTGTATTACATATATATATATATATATATATTATATAATCAGCATATAAATATATATTAAATGTAATATCTTGATTTTTAAATAAAAATAATTGTGGAGATTGAGGATTTATTGGGGATTTAAAATTTAGGAATTATATTATTTTGATGTTTGATTGAGGAATAAACTTATGTTTGAGGTTAATGGAAGTAAATAACATGTATAGGCATTTAATTATGGTTTGAATTAGGTCCAGAATGATATATTAGGATAATTAGAGGTCCAAAATAGGTTTTTGAGCTAGATTGAGCCCAAATTGTTTGGCTAAATAAAGTGTTGCGTTTTTGCATCATCCACCATGGTACGTGTGTCCATTGGTTTTTGATGGAGGGAGGAAATTTTGAGATTTTCTAGGCAATTTGTTGTGATTCTACTAGGGTTTGAGTTGCTAACCCGAAGACATGATTTTTAGGGCTTTAATCACTCAAGGTAAACTCATTTAATCACTTACCTACCCTCTTCTATCTTCATTAAGTTTGTTTAAGCATTTGTTAGTGCTAGGATTACATTTATAGGGTTGCCTAGCCCTTAGATTTGAAATATATGGGTGTTTTGAGATTAAGTAAATGTAATTTAAGTTGTTTTGATATAATAAACACAATAGGATGATTATATGCAAAACCTTAGACTTTGTTGGATGATTTTAGTGATGATTTTGATATGTAAAGGTTAATAAATGATTAGAGAGTATGATGATGATGATCTTAAGGGTTTTCAAGGGTTTAAATGGTTATGATGACTTTGGGTTAAGTAGATTAATTAACCTAACCCTTGGGTTAGGGTGTAGACACTTTGATTAGTGTTAATTAGCACTGTATTAATTGTAATTAGTATTGCATTGTTTTTAAATTGTGGTAGAAACATCATTGGAGGTAAAAGTTTGCTTGTTCGGGGAGCTATAATAGCAAGGAGCGAAGATAATTATTGTTAATGTGTGTTTTTGTGTGCTTTGCGATTGATTATGTGTGATTTTATTTTGTTTGGAAAATTATATACATTTGGAAAGAATATAGTTTTGTTGGGAAACAAATGAATTACCAAGTGGGCTGAATTATATATGAATACTATGATTGGTATAATTATTGTTCAAAAGCATCAATTTGTTTAGTTATGTTTTTGTTTGAATTTGTTTGAAAATATGCATGACATGTTGGGTTTGTTTTGAAATATCTATTGTTGGGGATTTTTCCAGAGATACTACGTACCATGTAGTAAGCCCCATTGGACCCGATGAGTGGCTATTAGCTTATATCAACCTAGCTTTGACCGAGTGGTTTAGTTCCTAGCACAGTGTATGAAGGGATATAAAATGTTGTCATGCAAAATATTAGTTGTTTGGAAAGCATTTTGTATGCCCACTAAGCAATTGCATGTATTATCGCATGTTAATTCTGATTACTAGGACTTTTATGTCTCACTCCTTATTGTTAACATTTTTACAGAAAAGAATTCAATCAAAGAAGCACCAAGAGAGTAATTTTTGTGCATATAGGCACCATTTGGCTCAATTGGCCTTTATTTTGTTGAGGTGTACGTAATTGCCAATCTTGGGGCATTAAACTTGTATTGTGAGCATGCAACTCCCTATTTTGATGACATATGTAATTGCTTTCCAAGAAATAGGTTTTTGGTATGTTCAAATGATTAGTTAAGTGTTTTAGAATGGAAAGTAATTATGATTTCATATGTTGTTGCATTCTTTTATATAAATTGTGTTAAGTAGCTATAACCTAATTATGGAAGTCTTGTATGCATGTGCCAATTTGATATAGTAAAATGGTTGTTTAGGAAGGATTTGAGTTGGTCTAACATCCTGTACAATGACTAAAGGGTTTGATCTTTGGTTGTGAAGTGTTGAGTGTTGGAATTTTATATTTTGTCACTTAATAGGAGTTTGTAGATAAAATTCTCATATGGAGGAGTTTTTTGTATCAAATCAAAGCCAATAGCTTGATTTTTTAATAAGTTTCATGTGAACACTTAAATCAAAATTGCGTATAAGAAGTTATGTCAATTTAAATTTTGAAAACAGTGTTTTATATTATTAATATCTAATATGGAGCTATGTATTGTAGCGCATGTGTCATCAACTATAGCACAGCATAGAGGGAAGAATATTATCTCTATGTCATATATTGTGGCACATGACACCTCGCCACTACAATGAGCCTTATTGAGGACTTGTCCCTTTATGTCTTTTGGCCCCAAAATTTTAGAATTGCCCTTGTGTTGATAAATGTTTTTAAAAAGCTATGTTTTGACATTTTTATCTTTTCTAAGCTTGTTTTTGGACAATTTAGCTCTTGGGAACCATGTTTTGCTTTTAATTATCCTTTTTGACATTTTGTTAGATTTATTAGGTACACTTGTTTCAATGGGATTCTATTAGGTACACTTTATTCAAGTTATTTACTTTCTTAATCATCATGGTATGTCTATTTCATTGTGTTTAATCTTTTCTATCATAATAAATCATTTTCTACCATGATAATCTAATTTGAGAAATGTTTTAAATATAAGGAAAGCTTTTTCTACCATGTTAACTATTAAGACTTTATAAAATAATTTTGACTCTTTATTAATTAACATGGTAGTCTCTTTATTACCATGGCAAGGTTTGAAATAATATCTAAAATTCTTCTATGGTAAACATTTACTTACCATAGTAGTATTTTGAAAGGTATGTTTTTACTATTATTATCATGATAGACTCTTTTATATCATGATATATCTTTATGGGATAAAACTATTCATAAAGTAATATAAATTGCAAAAAATTGGTGTTAGATTTAGAATGTTACATTAAATAGTTACATAAAAAATAAATGCATCACCATTATATTATAAATATATAGGAGTGTATATATATATATATATATTATTTTTTTAAATAGATAGAGAAACTAATAATACTATATGAAACTTTATAAATATTGAAATTATAAAACTCATGTCCTTTATTATAATTTATACAATAAAAATGATTTTGCTTAAAATAATCCAAACACCTTCAATTTTATCAAAATTAATTTTAACAAATAACATCCAAATATTCACGTTATAACATAATCAATTATACCCAACTAAATTTAAATTTTCCTAATTAGTATTTAGGTTTAGCAAAACATTTTATGAATAAAATTGATTAATATGATTGATTTTAATTATAATTAATTATGTTATAACATAATCATGTTTGGGATTTTTTTAAAATTTGATGTTTGGATAATTTAATCAAAATAAATTTTAGATGTACAAATTATCATAAAAGCCATGAGTTTTATAGTGTAAATATTAATAAAGTTACATGTAATATTATTAAATTCTTTTTGATATATTTAACATATAAATATATAATAATGATTTCATTTAATATTTAAATTGTATTACATTGTAATGTTGATAATTTAATCACACAATTGTTGGCTGGCATTAAAACAATAGTAAACAAAAAATATAAAATACTAGAAAATACTTTAAGAGGGGAAATATATAAAAAATGAATCTCCCAATATAATAAAAAAATTTATTTGTTGGTCTGATAAAGGGAAAATGTATACAAGTATTTATTGTGGATTTAGAATTATTATTTAATCAATCCAAACAGACACTAAGTATTCCCTCCTATTCCTATAACAGGGCACATTTTAAAAAGTTTTCTTGTCCTTAATATTGATATTTGTGGGGTATTGTTTGGGTTATCCATTTTGTGGATTAAGACTAAACCCAATGATATAATGGGGGCATGATCAAAATATAAAAGTAGTATGGGTCATCAAGTGCAAATCCCCCCCCCCTTTTATTATTATTATTTTTTTTTGAATGAGAGGGAACAATTTTTTATATTATCCATGCACGTTCAGAGAAGATGACATTTGTGGGTGAAAACCGGCTTAGGTTCGTTCTCTGCATTTGTAGAAATGCTCTCTCACTCTTCTCGTGCATTTGCTTTGCAGAAAAGAACCAAGTTCTATTATAATCCCGTTCACATTTGGTGAACCATCTGGTATGTCAACAAGTATGTTTCCTTCTCTGTTCACTGGTATTAATTTCTTTTTAATGTTACCTTATCTAAACTCATTAATTATGAGAGAGAATTAATGCAATGCAAATTTAAATATTTACATTTAAATAAAAATAAAATTAAAAAATTTATTATATTTTTAAATAAAGTTAATGACTTGACTATTTTTCTTTGGTTTTGATAAGGTAATTAGAGATGGATTTGGATCCTTTACGGGCATGGATTCTCTCCTCTTCCTTTCTTCCTCTTTCATTCTTCTCTTTTTAGCCATTAGATCAATATTTAGATGGTTTAAATTTGATATTCTATAAAATTATTATTACAATATTAAATTATAAAAAAATATAATAATAAAATTCAATCTCCTAAAATTTAATAAAAACAAATAAAATATATTAACAATAAAATGAAATGAAATGTTTTGAAGCAGCGATATCAAATCTGGATCATTCAAAATTTTAATTTAATGGTTAGAGATTAAGAAGAGGATGAAAAGGGAAGGAGAGTCCCAAATTTCTTGGTCTTAATATATTATTCTTTTTATTTCTTTTTTAATTTTTCTTTTTGTGCAGAAGCACTTATCTTGTAGCTGTTTAACTAGAAGAAAAAGCATAAACATCAAGAGAATGATTCGAATAGCAATATATCTCTCTTTTTATTTCCTCGTCCACTAATAAGTTGTCATGCTGGTAGTTCATCATTGTAGCCACCAAATTCAGCAATTTGGCTTTCATCAAAGTCAAGAAACAAAAAAAGGTAATCATTTTCTTGATAATGGTTAGATATTTTTTGTGTGGGCATTATCATTCTCATCTGACGCATAGTTTAAATCCAAGTTTCGTACATTTACCAGGCTTGATCTGCATTGTTAATGGGCTTTTTTAAGTTCTGTTTGCATTTTATTTCATCAGCATCAATATTGTTATTTATGTCACTAGGTAGGCAGTAGCTCGATCACACACAGAATTTCCCTCATCATAATCTGAAATTGTTTATTAACTTATATTAATTGTATAAATAAAATTTCCTGTACTAATATATCATATGTTTTTTTATGATTTTTTTGATGAAAAATATTATAACATTTAAATTAAATATGAAGTTGGCATAAGAAAAATGAATGTTTATTTTTTTTTTCCAAAATAAATCTACGTTAATGTTTTTGGTAACAAATGCTCCCATAAGGTACCCAAAAAGGCTCCCGTAGGGTAGGCTTATGCCAGAATGTTATTGTAGGCCTACTCCATAGCAGTGTTTTCTTTATATATATATATATAAAGATACATTTAAGGACCATAGAGAATATTTAATATTATCAAGAACTAAAAATTTATGAAATATCACTATAACATTAAGGGATTGATTTGAAATAAGTTTAGACAAGAAAAGAATGTATACTTCTACCTTTTTTTAATTAATAAATAATCATTTATAAATTAACAAGTATCCATCCGTATTTAATAAGAAACTATTAGTTAATTGACAAGTTCAATACTATGAAAGAATTTGATTATGGGAAGGAATAATTGTAAATCATACTTTAAAAGGTAACCATTTTGTTAATTAACAAGTATCAATCGCATTTAAACAAGAAATTATCTGCTAGTTGACAAGTTTAGTAAACTAAAAGAATTTGATTGTGGGAAAGGACAAGTATAAATCATGTTTAACATTACCATGCATTAATTAATAAATATCTACTCTCATTTAACAAGAAGTCATTTACTAATTAATAAATTTATGAATTTAAAAGAATTTAGTTTGTAGAAAGGGATAAAAGTAAATCATACTTCAACAAGTAATCATTTATTAATTAACAAATACTTATTCACATTTAACAAGAAATTATTCACTAATTAACAAGTTTTTTTTAAAAAAATAAAAACAAGAATATTATAGTTTTTTTTTTTTAAAATTATTTTTAAATTAGTTCTTTAATCCTATAATAATATTTTAACATTTTTTAATTTTTATTTGATATTAAATTACTTTTATGATCCTTGCATGAGATTTTCCTTTAGATTCTTGAATGATAGGCCTACAGAGTGTGTTTAGTCAAATAGTCTCTCATAGGCCCGCTCAAGAGGATCATTTCAAAAGCACTCCTTTATTTTTGGATCTTTTTTCAAATCTTTCGAAAGAGTAAAAATAAATACTTTGGAAAGCTCTCTCCCTCTCTCTCTTTCAATCGTAGTGTAAGTTTTGGTTTAGGTTATTCTAATGAGTATTGCCTTGGAACTGCATAATAAGTTTTGGAGTTTAAATGTAATTTTGTATTTGGATTCATTAGAATTCAATAAAAGTCTTAAAACTATTGGTTCATTTTTTGTTATCTGTTATTTTTGGTTTTTGGTTTTATGTAAGCAAAGAGGTAAAAGAGGATGATCAAAATATATATAATATAATATAATATATATATATATATATTGGTATGAGTTATAGTAGAGTGAAGAATAAGTCCAGCAATTTAAACTCATTTTTATAAGAGTTTGAATTTAAAAAATTAATTATTTTTTGAAAAATCAAACTTCAGAACCAGGTCCGGATAAGTTTTGAAAAGAGGGCATGGGCTTGGTGGCCGTTTTGGCCCGATTTCTTTTTTTGTTTTTTTTGTTTTTTTTTTTTTTTCCACCTCCTTGAACCGTCTGGAGAGGAAAAGGAAACCCAGAGCTTCACAGCCAACACTGCAGCTTGCGAGTTGCGAGTCCTCTTCATCTGAGCCTCTCCTCTCTCTTCATCTCAGACTTGCAACTCTGCCTCTTCCTCTTCTAGCTCTGGGCCTCATGAATCACGATCTCAACAGCTCAGCCTCTCCCCCTCTGGGCCTCACAATGTCGGATCTCAATCTCTCAATCTCGACGAGGGAGCCACAGTACTCTGGCTCCTTGGCCCTCGCTCATGATTTCAGATTGTCGGCGTCTTCTCCCTCATGATGCTCACTTCTCGGCCAGCTCGATATCGGCGACGGTCTCTCGACGGACTCCTCTAGATAGAGAACCGTGGGGGCTCGTTCTTCCCTCTGCCATGGTTCTCGATCTTGACTTCAGTTGCTCCCTCCTCTATCTAATTCTTTGATTCTTATCTGATCTCAACTGCTTCTAGTTTAAATTGATTATTCTCTATCTGATTGATTGATTCGCTGCTATGCCCCTATCTCTGCTTAGTTGTTTAGACGTTAGATTATTCAAGTAGTTAAGTTTGCCAAGGCGGGAACTTCATCATTTAAGTCAAATAAGAATCTATTTGTGCAAATCTTTCAGGAAGAAGTTCATATCTTGGACAATTGAATGGCTGTTTCACCAAACAGATATCATTGTAGTTGACCATGGGTGAGCCACACTGCTAATCTCTTCTGCTTTATTTGGTGCTATTTTACAAAAGAAAAATAAAGATGCTGCTCTGTTTACATTTTTACTGTCTGATAAGAGTTCAGAGAATTCAGTTTTTGAGAGGATGTCATGCTCATGATTTCTAAAGTCAATGAGAACGCAAGCTTCAACACCATTTTGGAGAAGCATCTTAAGCCTTGTCCTTGGAATCATCAATTAAGGAAATTCTGTGAAGAGAAGCTGGATTGTCTGAAGCTTTTCATTCGAAAGCATCCAAAGGTTACTCTTTGTTGCCTTTCATCCAGTTTGAGTTGTTTGTAGCGGAGTTCGCATGACTAGTTTAGCTTGTTAAAAATTTTAGATCATGTTATTTTGCTGTTGACTTTAATGTGGGGAATTGTATTAAAATTATTCTATACACCTCATAAATTACATGTTATTACAGGACCAAATTAACCCTTTAAAGAGTTGCACATGAAAGCTCATTAGAGAGCAACTAATAAATGTAATCATTACAGGGACCAAAGTCAAGCTTTGATTCTGTGATTCTCGTGCTTTGATTCTGTGATTATTCAACAAAGCTCAAGCACTGGTGGAAGGGTGGCAAAGAAGAAGATGTAACTAACAATGTATTGGACTTAAGCTCATGTTTTGATTCTATAATTTTATTTTTAATTTTTTTAAAATAGGTTTAAAGGGGCTTAGGGCGAGCCTCAAAAACAGAATATTTTTAAAAAAATCAAGCTTCAAGACTTAAGCTCATATGAATCAGACTTGCTCATTTTTCAACTCTAAATTATAGTCACTTTTAACACTGGCTCTATGACCAATATTGAATGTTACTGATTGTAATTGGTGTTAAAAGTCACTTTCAACATCATTAATTCTACACCACATTCTAGAACTGGTGCGAAAAAGTTAATTTTAACAAGTGCAAATTGTACTTTTTGCACTTGTGAATGTTTTTCAAATAAAATAAAGTCTTGACAAGCCACGCAACTATTATATTGGGCACAATTTTCAATTTAATTACATAACTCCAACACATCTCAAGTAAACACAACTTCAGTAAAGATAGATCTAATTTTGCTCCAAAAAAAAAGAAGATAAATCCAATCTTTTATGCATTGTTTTAGTTTTTGTATAATCTTCAATACACTGACACAAATCAAAGACATCTTCACAAACACCACTTGGTAAAACACAATTGCAAATGAAAAAAAAAAAACCTTTAAAAGATCCAAAGCTCGTTATCCCTCTTGTATCCTCTAATTTTCAGATTTGATCTCTAAGTCTGAAAAAATAATAAATTAAGAGCTTAAGTATCACATCAAAATGGTACATAGATAAAATAAAAACTAACAGCTTTATTTATTCTATGCATTTTTAAAAATTGTCATCAGACAATGTGGATTAAACTAGAGCTAACTATTTAATTATATTGATGAGAATAATGAGTTAAAAATTTGTAAATGGAAAAATTAATCATTTTGAATTATATATTTTTTGAAAGTGTAACATTAATACAACACCAAAACCTTTTGGGAATGATTCAAATTTCTCAAAAAAAAAAAAAAGGAGTGGGGGGTGTGTGTTTATATATATATATATATATATATTGGGAATGATTCAAATTTCTCAAAAAAAAAAAGGAGTGGGGTGTGTGCGTGTGTTTATATATATATATATATATATATCAAAATAGAAATTTTACTAGTAAAACAACACCTTTTATTAGGCGGGGAGAGTGGGCAATAATCGTAAATAAGCAACTTTAAAGTGTCTCATTTGACTGAGTGATAGAAATTGGAATAAAAGTGTGTTCAAATATAATGCCTTTTAAACATTTCATTGATTAAAAATATAAGTGTGTTCAAATAATATTTGGTAGCATATTTAGAAAGAGTGAATCTAGGTACCTGATGAGGCATTGTATATGTCTGGACAATCTCGTATATTCATAGTACCAGATATGTGGCTGAATTCATAACCCGTGTAAATCTCTCTCAACTTTGGCTACCTCATAAGATCCAATTTATTCAATTTAGAAAATAGTTTCTAATCTTGATCAGTAACTTGTTCACCTTTGTAGCCTTGAACAACCCACTCAAGTTTAGAGCAATCATTTACAATTATTTTTTTAGTGAATGGCAATGGGATGCTAAAGAATAAGAGAACAACCTTTTCACTTTGTTGCAATCATAAATACTAATTCTCTCAAGGCTGGGGAAGCAAACTGTGGAAGAAGCAGAAGAAATAAGGTTTCGAAGTGATTCTTCACAAAATACTCCCTCCCATTGATAGCATGCTTTTTACTCCAAGTTTGTTCAACTTTAGGAGGCTTGTAATTGCGGCAAGAGTGTAGATACTTCTTAATCTTTGGCATCTCAACAATTTAACCTCTTGAAGTCTATGGAGGCTTATAATTTGTGTGTGGGCCTTCCAAGTAAAATCCAACTCTGGCTGATCCATTAAATGCATAGAACATAATTCTGAATTCAACACCTTCGGCCTTACACTCTCGTTCTTCTTTTTTTTGTAAAGTAAATGCATTCAATGATTAGATGGTAATCTATAAGATGGTCAAAATCACATCAAATGTTAGAATGCTGATCTGTAACATTTACTAATTAGGCCCTATTAATTTCACATTTTAAAATTGTAATAATTGAATCTCAGCATGATGAATATTATATATATATAAACTTACAGATATGCATCCACAGCCACACTGATTTATTTAAAATAAAACAGTCTTGGATAAATACATTTTAGTTCAATCATGAGGAGCTCGCTGGTGCCAACAAACTATAACATGAAAACTTATTTCGTTCACAAACAACCTTTATTTACTAATACAATTAATGCAAAACATTAAATTTGACTCAGTCCGTGCAGCACTTCTGGAAGGTGGGAACATTAAATTTTGTATGCAAAAACATTAAATAAAAATTGAAATAATTAATTATTGCCTGTTATTGAGGATATATTTTTATTACAAATATATATCATTTGATGGTAAACACAAATTTTTTAAATAAATTTAAAAAGAAAACATGCCTATTTCAAAAACAAGGAAAAGGGCAGAGTGAATAAAAAAAAACCTCTTAAAAATATCCAAACCACAACATGACCTTTATAACACTCACTATAAATTACACCCAATCAATTTCACATATTTTTTTTGGGTAAACAATTGCACGTATTTTAAATATTGTAATATAACAACTTCATAAATACAACAATAATAATGTGGGGGAAAATTTGTAACTCGCAAATATTATATCTTTTTGTTGCATGATTATTCAATATCTATTATCTATTAGTATAACTATATGTTGTTAAATTATTGCATTAATTTCATAAAGTGATTAAATAGTAAATTGACCCCTAAATTATTTGTCCACAAGTATATAAGACTATAAATTCATTTTTAATATAATATTTTCTTTCAACTTTTGACAGCAGTGTAATTTTAAATTGAGCCATAGTCTTGCACATTCAAGTCCAAATGTATATCCTGATATATCATGGGAATTCATGAGCATGAATAGTAATTGGAAGAGGATATGCATATCATAATGTGTACTCCCTCCGTTAAAAAATGTAAGGCATTTTTAATTAAATTTCACCTTCAATAAAATAGTTATCTATTTTCAAACTAACATTATCTTTCTATATTTACTCTTATTAAACATCCTATAATAAATATAAAGTCATTATTAATAGAGGCACTTTTGAAAAAAAGACAATGATTACACCTCTAAAGATTAAAAATGTTTTACATTTATGAATAGCCAACTCTTTAAAAAATACCTTTTATTTTTAAATGGAGGGAGTAACAATTATTTTCTTCTTTGGAGGCATGAAGAATATAATATTTAACTTTACACCTTGGTTCATAATTTGATTTATATTGGTTGCAGTGACTTTAAAATAGATATCCTTAACACAGAATTATTTTATTAAAATTTCAAAAGAAAATTCTATCTTATTTTCACCATATAATTTCCGAATAATTATTGTCATAAAAAATTATTACATATTCTATCCTAATATTAAATAATATACAAGCAAGCTAGACTAATCTTAAAAAATGTATTTAATAAAATAATGAAATTAAATCCCACCCACCATAAATACTACTGAGAGTGATCAAATTTTTCGTTTTCATTTCGGTCAACAACGCTATCAAGCTGATGAACAATTTGCTAACTAGTAAATCTAATAACCCTACAAGGCCTGTTTCAGACTTTCACTATTGTCTTTCCTTAATTAAAAGATTAATTAAATTTAATTAACAAGTGAGACCAAGTCCTCTGCCAAAGCCTGATGCTCATTAATTTATGTCTGCGTAGTTTTCGTTTTAACAGTTTCCTAAAATTAGATTTGTGGTTCAAATTGAGAGCGATTCACGTCATCGAAACTTACTGTTAAGTTTAGAAAAGTTGCTATCTTTTACAAGAACAAACCTAGTATATATACTCAAGGCTAAATGCGAATTGTCAGAACAGGAAGAATTAATCTCCTCCTTCCACTTTAGAAAAAGGCAAGAGGGTATATAGGAGCAATACAACAAGCATATCATTTTTTATACCGGAAAAAGTGATTCGAATCACATATTGAAAAACCAAAAAAAAAGGGTCAATTATTGTTTTCTCCGTAGGTTATCACGAGCCAAGATGATGATGTTCGTGTTTCTGGTTTTCCTCTTGGCTGGATCTTTCTCAGTGATTAATGGTGAAGATCCTTACGTGTTCTATACTTGGGAAGTCACCTACGGTACTCTCTCTCCTCTGGGAGTCCCACAACAAGTTATTCTCATCAATGGCAAATTCCCAGGACCCCTCATTAATGGTTCATCGAATAACAATTTCGTTGTCAATGTCTTCAACAAGCTTGACGAGCCATTTCTCTTAACCTGGCAAGGTGTTCAACACAGGAAGAATTCATGGCAAGATGGTACACCAGGAGCTCAATGCCCTATCCCACCTGGCACAAACTTCACCTATCATTTCCAGATCAAGGACCAGATCGGAACTTTCTTCTACTTCCCCACCACGGGATTACACCGTGCCGCCGGCGGGTTTGGCCCAATTCGCGTGTTCAGTCGTCTGTTGATTCCTGTCCCTTACCCAGATCCTGAAGGTGAGTTTGATTTCCTCATTGGTGATTGGCACACAAAGAGCCATTCAACTCTTAGAAAGTTCTTGGACAGTGGTCGCTCTATTGGGAGACCAGATGGAGTTCTGATCAATGGCAAATCAGCGAAAGGTGATGGCAAGGATGAACCATTATTCACAATGAAAGCTGGCAAAACATATAAATACAGAGTCTGCAATGTAGGGATTAAGAACTCACTCAACTTCAGAGTCCAAAATCATCCCATGAAGCTCGTGGAAATGGAAGGATCTCACGTTGTTCAAAACATGTACGACTCACTTGATCTCCATGTAGGTCAATGCCTTACAGTGCTCGTGACAGCTGATAAAGAACCTAAAGATTACTACGTTGTTGCTTCGACTCGATTCTCCAAGACTCTTGTTGTGGGAAAAGGAATTATTCGTTATGAAAATGGAAAAGGACCAGCTTCACCAGATCTACCTGAAGCACCAGTAGGTTGGGCTTGGTCTCTGAACCAGTTTCGATCTTTCCGATGGAATCTAACTGCTAGTGCAGCTAGACCTAACCCTCAAGGTTCATACAAATATGGTCAGATTCCGATCAATCGTACAGTCAAGTTGGTTCATTCGGTTAGTAGGGGACAAGGGAAGCTTCGCTATGCAATCAATGGTGTGTCTCATGTTGAGCCTGAGACGCCAATGAAGCTTGCAGAATACTACGGAATTTCTGATAAGGTGTTCAAATATAACATCATGCCTGATCAGCCACCAGCAAATCTGGAAAATGTCATTGAAGCCCCAAATGTCATGAACATCACATTCCGTGAGTTCGTTGAGATCATCATCGAGAATCACGAGAAGAGCGTCCAGTCTTATAACTTGGATGGCTATTCCTTCTTCGCGGTCGCGTTAGTGTTTCGTTCTGTTCACGTATTGAACTTATATACGATTCCTCGTACCTAGTGACTAAGTTCTTTGTCTTATTGTTGGATTATTTGCAGGATTGAGCCTGGGAAGTGGAGTGTAGAGAAGAGGAAGAACTATAACCTTCTGGATGCTTTGAGCAGGCACACAGTGCAAGTGTTTCCAAAGTCATGGGCAGCGATACTGTTGACATTCGACAATGCAGGAATGTGGAACTTCAGGTCGGAGATTGCAGAGAACCGCTACTTGGGACAACAGTTCTACATTAGCAATTTGTCGGAAAACAAATCTTTAAGAGATGAGTACAACCTTCCAGATTTTGTGTTGAAATGTGGCATCGTTAAGGATATGCCAGTGCCACCGCCTCAATACACCTAATTTTTTTTATACGTTAATTGTTTCTTCTTTTCTTTCTTTCTTTCTTTTTCCTTTCTTTTTCATCCTTTTTAGTTATTATTGCGATTATATGAGAAACTTTTGAGATGGAAATTCAGTAGAGTGTTGTAATAATTTAATAATTGATGAGGTTGGAATAATTCTGTCTTTGATCTGTGTGATCAAACCGTTTCTATAAATGTAGCTACACTTTTGTCCTATATTTGCATTTTTCTTCTTATTTGTTCCTTCTTACTGATATCTGATGTATACATTCGGTAATTTTGATAAATAAATGGGAAAATTAATGGGAGAATATCAATAAGAAATTTATTTTTTTTGAAACAATCTCTAACAAATAGGAATTAATAAATTAACTAATAAAATTATTTTTTTAATACCAGACGTCTTTCTGGGATCTTTCATTATATTTTTTTTTCAAAATTAATTTCCAAGTCCTTCTACTTTCCTCAAAATAAAATTGTTTTCTTAAATCGATGCCTTATAATTTAATCCGTTAGATTTATTAATCTGTGAAGATTGGAATTCCTAAAGTTTTCATAAAGAGATTATGTTTATTAAAATTTTATATTTTAAGTAAGAGATTATATGACTTTAGAATTAATTACATAAATTTTCATAACTCAATATTTATATAATTAGATTATCTTTTATGAATAAATTTTATACATATAGAATTTTTATAAAAATTAATGAAAATATAAATATTGTATTAAATCAGATTAAATTATATTTTTCACCGAAAGTATTGAATCAAATTTCATATAAACTTTGAAATTGTTTTTATTTCGATTAATCATTCATTAATAATTTTAACATTCAAGTATTACTATATCTAACGAATCAAACTATATATAAGGATTTGATTAAAACAAGATAAATTAGCTCTATTATTTGATTAGCTATGAGCATATTTTTTCCCCTAAAGAAAACAAATATGAATTCATTAAAAACAACTAGAAATGCACAATACTAGTTCAACCTCTAAGAGGAGGTCTCAAAAATAAGGGGTTCACGGGAAGCTTAAAAAGGGAAATAAAACAACTCTAAGAAGGGGGAAAAAAACGGAAATGCAAGTGAAAAAGATCTTCATTAAAAACACTGCGCTGCCTTGAAGATGGGAAAAGATTAAATTCTATTCTTTGATCACAGACATGTAACATCTTGATTCGCAATTAACGCTTAGAGCCACTAGGACTAGTTTGCAATGTTAGGACCTTTGGAGTAGAAAAAAATATAGGCAGAATGGAAATTTCAAAAAAAAAAAGTGGGGCAGAAGCGCAATTTCAAAAAATTCAAGAGCCACAATGCAATCATGTAAAATATCGGGGGCTAAAATGAAATCCCTGAAAAATATAAGGGTCAAAATAAAATTCTAAAAACTTTTAAGGGTAAAATGTAATTTCAGAAAGTTTATGGGTCAAAATATAATATGCGAATAACTCGAGGAAATTTGTAATTTTCAAAAGTTTGCTGGCTGGGCTATTGACATGGCGGTATGACACGTGGCAGATTCTGGTTGGTTGGCGTGTCATTGGTTGGACACTTCAAGAATGACGTGACATATGAGGCAACTACGCACCCCACATCACCCGCCAGCTTTAAGGTTTGCAATGCCTTTTTGGCTAATAAAGGCCTGGAAGTTGATGTTTTGAAATTAAATGACAATGACAGTTTTAGTATACTTCAAAATCATCGAACTCTGGCAAATTTTCAAGCATTGCTCATATCTGGAAACCTGCTCTTATCAAAATTGACATAGAAACTCGAGAAAGAAAGGAAAACACTACTTTGGAAAGAGAAATTGTTTATTCTTGCTTCCTTCAAAATTTGATATTAAGATTTTATTTATATTAAAATATTTCATTTCTATATATAAGATGTTTTTAATTGAATTACATGAATTAATAAAAATTAATTATCTAATTAAAAATATATTAATATTTTAATTTTGTCTTAATTATTGTAAATAAAAAATGACTCTTTTTTTAAAGTAAATTAATAAAAGTATTTATCTTTTTTTTCTTTCCAATTTAATAAGACTATAATAACTTATTCATTAACAAATATGTTAACAACTTTTTATATTAAGGACAAAAAATGTTTTAAAAAATTCCTTATATATAGAGACAGAGGAAGTATTAAGTTTACCTATAGAAAGCCTTAAATCTAAACGGAAGAGTCACAAAAATTTTAACGAATTATAGGGAGGGAGGTTACAGTTCATGACGGAAATGTTACAACTCATTTTTTGTAGAGAATGCTTGAATGCTTGATTATGGAGGCAATGAATGGCAGCTATTGAAGGGGCAAGTAGAAGTTTAACCCTCCGTTTTAGAAATTACTGAAAAGTTTGCTATAAGATATGATAATTGATCGTTTTTATGTGATAAAGAATCAATGAATAAAACTTAAGAAATATATATATATATATATATTACTTGTATATTTATAAAATTGATTATAAACATGTTGAAATATTGTTCGTTTTACACACACACACACACATGTATATATAATGTAACTTTTTATCAATTATTGTATACACTCTGTAATCTCGTCTCCAAACTAGAAATTCTGGATCCTCTAGTGAAGGCAGAATTCAGAGCTTCAGCACTATTTTTGATGCCATCTGCCTGTGGAATGATAGAAAAGAAAGATGAAGATGACAAGGAAAGTGAAGAGAGTAATGACAGTGGAACAATTATAAATTTTATTAAGTGAAAAGAAAAAGATGTTCCAATCCTGAAGTAGAGTTTCCTGGACAAAACAATGTTCATTTGCCTACCATTCCTGAGCTGCACAACTGTTAACGGGCAGCATTAATGCTTTTGGTGATGATACTGTGAGAATTCATCCATTTACTTCTATATTACCCAATAGATTTACATCTTTATCTTTTTGGTTGTTTCAGATACATTAATCAGAGCCTGTTTATACACCTTCAGTATGACAGATTGAGACATCATTAATTCTTAATTAAAACAAATGGCTCTAATTCATGTTACAGTATGTTTACAGATACAGATACATTGTTGTCATCAAGACAAAACTCAAGCACTAAAGGATTATTCTAAATGTAGAGAGAAACACACAACGCTTATATGTATGTACATAGCCACATCCCCAAACTACCCTTTACCAATCTCGATGGAACTTTATTTCAAGAAATAGCCTCACTGAATTTTGATACTGTATGTGTATATCTAAAATCCCGAAAACATCGCTGATAGATCAATCTCCTTAAGAAATCCAAATCAAATCCAGAATATTCATCTGTCCTTTATCGCTTTGCTGCAATTGTATAACAATGACAAGATATGTCTCAAGGAAAAAAAAAATGAAAATAATACATGAAACTTTGACACCAACCAGCTGTGTTTTGGAACACTCAAAACTACCTTTTGGATGAACTCAAGCTTCTTCGTTTCTTGTTATCATCAGCCTTTGATATTGCAGCTTCTTTCTCCCTTGCAGCTGCTTCTCTTTTTATTTTCTTCCATTCTAATTCCATGGCCTTGCTCAGTGCCTCAACCTTCTTCATGAGCATCTGAACATCCATAGGTCATACAATTTAGAAGATCAACATGTATACAAATGGAGACTTGATAGTATGGAATACTAAGTCCCACATTCAGCAGTATGACCTGCTCAATTAGGTATTTAAGTAAGTTGGTTTTTCTACCTCAACAGCTAATTTTTAGGGTAAGATTCATCATATGCACATACATATTGATAGGCTAGGAAAGACTTTCACAAAATTACGAGTCAAATGTGAATTTAGTCCAATCCTACGTGAGAAAAAGGAAGGATGCTACCTTAATTTCTTCATCTTTGGCCTGCAAATTACTGTCTTTAGCTTCACAAGACTTTCTCAAGCTGATGACCTCTTTCTGAAGCTTATCATATAGAAAGCCTGAGACCACATCATTATCATCCCCTCCAACTTCACTACTTCTCTTGCATTTGCTGGGCTTTTCATCAGCATTATTATTGCCATTAACATTCAAATCCATTATGTCCGTGTGGTGGTGCACCTGGATTACTGTCTCATTTTCCTTCTCACCACTGTCAGCAACTTTACTTCTTGAAGATGCCCATATACCTTTCTTGATGAACACATTTTCTGCAGGACCATATCTTGCTTTACAAGTCTCAGTGTTGATTTTGATGTTTGGCTGATGATGATGAAAGAGAGAACTTCCAATTGAAGATGCCCTTGGTTGTGATGTGGATCTCTTTCTCAGTGCACCACCAGTTGTTAGGAAACCTAAGATGTTAGACTTTTCTGGTTTTGGAGACCCTGAAATTGCAGTGTTTGGGTAACTTGAGACATTCTTCATTCCTTCTTCCAGTGTCTTTAGTCTCAGCTTCAGTTTATCCTGAAGAGAAGAACAATGTCAGGGATAATATCATTGCAACTAAAACCGTCTTTAGCCAGAGAAAACCGTGCAAGATACAACAATCAAATCATGTCACAGCTTAAGAGACTTTTACAACCTATAGTTGGACTAAAATATTTACCTTTAACTGTGCCTCTGCCTTTGCTGTTCTCTCAGATATGGCTAATTTGTCTTTCATCCTGCTCATCTCAGCCTACACAAGGAAGGACATACTTAAATTTCGTGGAAAATTGCATCTAAGGACCTAAAAACTTGAAGAAAATCTCATTAAAGGAGCTTAAAAACAATTATTCTGCCTAAGGAATAAAAGTTAACATCAAGTTTTTGGAGGCTTGTCCTATAAAGATTGAAGAATTATTTTTATGTTTTGGATAAATTAGGCTAAAATTTGGGGATTTACCTGCATAATTCTCCTCTCTTCCATCCATTGCTTGACAGGCATGACTTTGTCACTTTCATCCTTCCACTCATTAGCTAAAACAGTAGCAACTCTGTTGGCTGAAACTTTTATCCTTGCTAGCTCCCTCTCCAATGTTCGCTTCTCTTCCTGTTAAATTATACATGTACCTACCCAAGTTACTGAATTGATCAACTAGCAAGCTTTACAAGTTCACAAGCATGATAATTAGACATTCTAATTTGATTCTAAAGCACCTGCAACTCAGAAATCTGTCGTTGATAATCCCGAACAGCATTAGCAGTGGCTCCACTAGCCAAGATGACCTCTTCAAGTTGTTCAATGGTTTGGCTAAGTTTTTCAACTTCCAAAACCTTCTGGCGATGGGTTTTCTCTAAAATTTTGTTCTCTTCCTGTTCATGCAATGCAAAAATTTTCTCAGTCACATCTTATTAAGATTCTATCAGACAACAAACCCAAGGAGGAGAAAACATATATAGAAAACCATGCCTGACAAATCTCAATCTGTCTCTTCAAGTCGAAGTTCTGATTTTGAACTTCCTCAACTATTAAAGCCCTCTCTAATGCACTACTCAGAATCCTCTCTGCTTCAAGCAATGCCAATTCTTTTGACTTTGTGAGTCGTTCCAAAGCTTTCTTGTCTTCTTGTAGAGCTGTAATCTACATGGACACAACAGATAACTTTGAAGCAAAAGTATGTACAACTTTGATTGTAATGTATTGCCAAGGGAAATTTTTTTTTCCTCGTAATGTGATATATAAAAGTATATTTTATATTAATTAATCCCCAGATTTTCTTTCTTAAATGATTTGGTTATTGATAGAACACAATAACAAGTCCAAAGGGAGAACTCATCCTAAAAGATTAGTCTATTGGATAAGAAAGCCCCTCATACTTATAAACCTCATTCACTTGTAAGGCTACCGATATGGGACTCATGACACTGTAATCCTCAAATTTTCTTTCTTAACGTGGTTCATACCTCATTCTTACACATTTTGATCTCTGCCTCAAGAGGTGCAATGACAATCTGAACTGGAGCACATTCATCTTCCTTTTGATTTGCGTGTACTCTTCTAAGAGTTGTTTCTGCAGCATACTGAGCAGACAAAGCATCCTTCTTCTCATCATTCAATTTCTTGATTTCTAGATTCTGCAGATGAAAACGTTTTCATGGAGGATTCATGTTAGAGTCTAGCTAAAGCATGTTGGGAGATAAGGTTCCAAGAAAAAGAGATACGAAGACCATTTATAGTTTAGCACACCTTTAGTTCAACAATATCCTCTGTAACTCTTAGTTTCTCTTCCAGTTTAGTCACTTCATTTCTCAGCTGCAATTGGAACAAGAAACTTTAGAACAATATTAATGCAGAAAATCATGCAATACTTTTGAGGAAATTTACTTTTTTATCCTTGAAAATTGCATGCTTCAATTATTTGGACCCAGAAACCTAGAAACATATTATTCAGTCATTCAAAATTTATTGGCTCGCTTGTTGTTAATTTTTGAACATCTACATTTATCTCGTCATTTTTCGCTGACAGATAAAGAAAGAGTGACAACTGACAAGTAAGAAGCTTGTAGGGACTGAATTTCTATTATTCTTGCGTTTAATAATATATATATATATATATATATAATGTCTTTCATTATCAAATATTAAGGACTGTGACTAATGAGAATTAAAAAGAAAATACCTCTTCCATGGCCTTATCCCTCAGTGCTTCAGTTGCCCTCAAGGCCTTGATTTCACTCTGACAAATTGCTAGTTCCCTGACTTTTTCTGCAATATGATATAACTAATGATTTATTAGTTTATATATATATATATATACATGCTTTATAATGATTGAAAAATAATTAAAAAGCATCGTCCAGAAACAATGGTGGGAGCTATCATTCCCCTGTTTTGTCGGGCAATCCATGAAACAGAAAGCATGAGTAGCAGACAAATGGGGGAAAAAAAATTCAAACAGTGAAGAGATTTCAAAGAAGAAGTACTTTCTTGAAGTGATCTCAGAGGGAGATACTTTCATCAAACATTTTGTCGTCACTGACACAAACTTTTGGAAACTCATATTCCAAAGATTATACATGAACCCTATATTAGAATCTTACACTGCTACAACACTTTTGAGAGAAAAGAAAGATACGTTTGTCAGTTTCAAAAGTATCACTGACATCAATGAATCAGCATAACCTTCAGAATCAGAAAGAAAGAGAAATGAAGAAATAACACATGATTAACCATACTGATGCAAGTTCTTGGAGTTCCAACAAATGTTGAGAACTAGAAAAGAACATGACAAAGAAATTAATGAATGAATGAACCAACCTTTGAGTTGGTTTTGCAAATGATCAATCTCCAACGTGAAGGGGTCAGGTTGAACAAGGGGACGATCTTCCGCAACATGATGATGTTCTTCGTATCCCACCATTATTGAAGCTGTAATATAGCTTCTTATTATGGTAATGCTGAATTGCAGAGTAGTTCTGAAGGGCAAGTGAAGAAGGGTTGAGTGTGTGTATATATATAATTAAGAAAGAGAAAATGGGGTTAGTGATAAACAAGAAAGATAATGATTCGTAGAAGAAATTGAACGGGAAGAGAGGAATGAGTTTCCTCTTCAGTGAAGCAAACTTGAGAATTGGATGACAGAGAAGCCGGCCAAGTCGGCTAGTTTATGTTCTTATCAGTAACGGTTACTTCATCATTTTTCTGCTTAATTACACTTTTGTTTGTTGTTGTTGTTGTTGTTATTGTGTTTAAAATCTTAAATTTGTCTCATAAGTTTAAATCTCGAATTTAATGTTGCAATAATGACTCAGTCGGTTAAATCCACAATTCATCAATCACCATAACCACCTTTTGTCTTCTCTCGTGGCGCTACAAAACCAGTTCAAGGTCGAAGTGATATAGAAATCCTGATCAACATGCCAGATAAATATCCTAAGTAATTTAAATAAAATATTATGTAACATTTTTTAATTAATTTTATTTTTATAACAAAATGTACATTTAATTTTTTTTTTCTCTTTACTATTATTAATTTTACAATTAATTTATATTTAATACTATATAAATGTCATATTTTTATTGAATATACCACAAATGACTAGTGCACTCAATCTATTTAAATATTTTTTCAATATGCCCAATTAAACCATTAACTTAGTATTTTGAGTAGTTTAATAAAATGATTGGTTTAATCATGATTCAATTATAATTTTAATTATTAACCTTCAAACTAATGCCTTAACTAGTTCAATAACCAGTTTACTTTTTAATATCTTATGATCTAATATTCTAGTACACTCTCTTGTAGAATCAATCAAGCTCCCAAACTAGGTTCATTGTACAATAAAAGTTGGGAATTGAACCCAACCACTTTTTTAATTGGCATATACAAAATTAGAACATGATAAACTATTTTTAATAATTAATATATATTTTTAGGAAATTTACTCTAAAAATTATTTTTTATTTTTAAATAAAGAACTAAATAGATTTAACTTGTTACAATGACTAATTTTACGGAAAGTACTTGAGATGCTTTTCGATTGGAAAATGAATTATGAAAAAAAGCAACAATTATGTTGATCCACCTAATACTTCTTTTTCACATGGAATTAGTGGCAAACAAAGATAAGCATCAATCATGTTCCTACCAATTAACCAAAAAAGTAGTGCATTAGTTTCGATCTTTATGTCTCAGATTTTCTGGCTCACACAATATATTATTTGCTTCAATCTCAAATAACAGATAATTACAAGATCTTATCTTAATCATCCAATGCCTCACTAACATTGAACCATTATTGAGGGTAGGTATCGTATTATCATTATTATTGTCCTATCGAGGAAGGCTTAATTTCTTCTATGTTCCTAAAAACAATTGAACTTTTTTAATTAATTGAAGTGTAATTATCAGAAGAAAGATAACATTTTGGACGATTCAATTGCTTAAGCGTGAAATCCGATTTTATTGGATCATTCTCCTTTAATTTCTTTCTCCTTTTTACTTTGATGCGTGAAAAAGACTGGTCCTGTAGATTTATCCAAGAAAATTTGGTACTCATTGCACAAAATTTGAAAGTGATCATCATCCATTGTCAAAGTGTTGCTAGCTCAAATAATATTCTTTTAATTTTTTAAGATTTTAACTATAAAGATATATAATACAGATTGTCATTGTGCAATGAGTCCCATATAGCCTCGCAAAGAAAGTGGAGTTTATAAGTTTAAGAAACTTTTTCACCCAACAAACTAATATTTTGGAATGGTTTTTTTTTTAAGACTTATATTTATGACATTGAAGGAGAAGAGGGGAAGAGAGAGAAATGAGGCTGGCAAAATAAGAATTCTTATCACTATTAAAAAATGAAATATAAAATGATTATTTTTGCTAATATTTAATGATTTTCAACTATTAAGTAATCTAGTGTTGAATATTCTTGAAGCTTTTATTCTAGGTTTAAACCATTGAATCTACTTCATTTATTCAATGGTTTTTAACCAAAAACATTTAGTAAATGTTCGAATTATTGAGGTGGGAAACTAGGAGAGAGAATATTCAATGGTCTCATAGCATTCAATGGTTCTAGCTATAATCATGGATTCAATGCTTGTATGGATACAATCGTTGAATATTGCTACACTATAGATTTGGTCATAATATTCAACAAAATGACCAAGTTTTTTAAATAGGGGATAGCATTTCTAACAATCCTTTTGCATTATAAATTATAGAACTATATTCCAACACCTACAAACAAATTTCAACTAACAATAATCACATATATACATAAATATACAATGAATTCTAACACAAAAGCTATATATAACTTGAAGTTGCTTAAGTTAAATTAATTACTGGCTAAAATATAAAGATCCAAATTTCAAAAATTGGCTAAGTATATATCTATGTATATCATCTATGTGAACTTTAAATATATATTGATATCACATTTATTTATTTACTATAAATCATACTTGAAAAATTCTATATGCCAACTTTTCAAGGACTTTCTCCATTTGAGCATGAGTATATATGTGTCACAATATGTGTCCTTGTAGTATTGTGTGCAACAACAATAACAACAAATTAAAGTCATGTTTATTGATAAAAATAATGTAATGATGAAGAGGTTAACAATATATATTACCTTGTCTAAAAGAGTCTTGATTGAAGCGTGTTGGATTATGTTCTTTATGAATTTCATGACAACATACCTATAATCTCTAGCTTTGTCTATTTGCTTTAGACACTACAATCACACAATGGATAAAAAAACCAATCAATTGATGATATGACATGACCTATAGTGACGTTGCTAACATCATGAATGATAAATACACATACCTTGACAACTATCCATGAAGCCGCTATATCAAAGTGACTATTGCTCTTTACTAGTTGTTAGAGTTGTTAATCAATATCAATGCGATACATGACAATGGCAATGAGAGATATTCATATAAAAAGAATAAATTACATACATATATGTGCAAAATTTGCTTAACTTAGTAATTAATCATTTCCACTATGTCCCTATTAGAAACATGGCCACTACAAATAAGTTCAAGATGCATATCCCCCCTAAAGTTGAATTGATCACAAGTAACATCCAGTGTTCCTTATGACAAAGGTTACAATTAGGAAATATCACGTAAATAATTAAATTTTAAATAAATTAAAGTAAAGCATTGTAAAATGACTTACCTTTCACAATAAGGTGCTATGAATATTGTGTTTTCATTGGTGCCATGTTGCTAGAAGTACTTTTTGAAAACTTTTGAAATATTTTTAGTCCTTACTTAGGATTCATTATGTCAGAGCCATGAGAAGAGATCATGTGGGGACTAACAAGTATAATCCTCCATCTTATGTCTCTTCTGGTAAGCATGGTAGTGTAAAGGTTTCTTAAATATCAAATTAAGTGGATCAACAAATGATTAGAGAGAGAGAGAGAGTAGCTAAACATTTAATAAAATTTTTTAGAAATATATTTCATATATAAGTTACATAGGGCAGTGGTAGCTTCTGTATAGTTGAATAAATCATTCAATACCTCATTATTGACTTGGTTGACAAACTTTGAATTTGCATACATCTTCGTAACAAGAGAGAACATCGCTCTTTCTTGCATCTAGGTATGAGTTCTAAGCAATTGCATGTTTTTATCATGTGCAACTAGACGTTGAGAGGCTTAAGGTTGAGAGACTTTAGGAAAATGGGCTTGAGGGAGAGCTAATGTCTTTTTAGGAAATGTGACGGACTCTTTGAATTTTTTGGAGCTATTCTTATCATTTTCCCTCTTTTGCTTACTTGCTAGTGCTTTCATAGCCTATGGTACTTTTTTCCCACCAGCTTATCAACAGGCTAGTTTTTTCAACATATAGGTAGTTAGATATAAACTACAAATACATGTAAAAGGAGTTAAATTTCAATTTTGAGTTTAACTGCTATACCTTTGGAGACAGTGTTGACATATGAAGGAGATGAACTGGCCATGCAATAAAGCTAAGCAATGTATTTATTACTGTCCTTGCCTTAGGAGTAAGGTAAGGCAAATTATAACTATGATTCTTAGCTGTCTTCAAGCAAACCTTCAATGTCTCTTCAAGGATATGTTCATTGTGAATTATGATATGCTTAGCACATCGTGCATGCCTCTTAAAATAACCACATAGCTATCATCTGTCAAACAATCAACGTCTATCTCACCCTAAACAAATTAAAAAGAGAAAAACATTATGTAATATGAACAATAAAGTGGTATTGTGTGTAAGGCTAATAAAATGAATAATAATACTTCAAGTAGGAGTTGAGATGGAATTGTACAACTATCATTCATATTAAGGTTATCGTCACCTAGTTGAAGCCCCAACCTATACCAGTTCAGCAACATGTTTATGAGTCTAGACTATTCTTGTTCTGTTGCAATTGTGCTGGCATCAATTGCTTTTGTTCTGCTAGCTCTTGCCTCAATTCTTGAATGTCAGCAGAAGATGCAATCTTTTGATTGCGCTTAAACCCTCTCCAAAATATTCTTTCCTTGTGACACAAAAGCTGACGCCCTGAACACAATCAGGATAGTCGATATTCCCTAACATCTCCTCCAATATATCCACATTAGCAATTAGAGTGTCTGTTGAAGCCTCCTGAATCAAAGCTTCATGTGAAGCAACAAAAGTAAAGTGAATAACTAAAAACAAATAAATAATAACATTATATTATTAATATTTACTATTCTATCAACAATCGCCTTTGTTTTTGATTTGTCAATATTGCCTTCTTTATTTTTTCGAACCAAGGCCTAAATCCTGTCATGAGATATAAAACCTTCTAACACTAACTTTTTTTCAATCAAACCCTTCTCAATGCCTGTATGCCCCTCATGCCTAGCCTTATAGATATACTAATTCTTTTTTGCTAACTCTTTATTTTTAACATTTAATGCCTTTGAAAACATAAAACATGACAAGTCAGTTGATATAAATAGGAAGCACAAGCTAACAAAAGCAATAATATATATATATATATATATATGAAATAACATTAATATTACTTGAACTCTAGACTATACTATGAGTTAACAAAAGCTTTTCATTCATCCTCACTTAAGAATTTATGGGTGACAAAACTTCTAAAAGATATGTGGGCTATCCCAACTTTTTTGCCCTTGTACTTTCCTTC